TGCTTCTCGCTCTGACCCTCCCCCCTCTCATGCTCTCTCTCTCTATCTCATTCTCTCTCTCAAATAAATAAATAAAATCTTTAAAAAAAAAATATTCACATTAGCCTGGCAGGAACTTCTGCTTTCCTCATCATTGCTCTTAGCACCTTCTTAAGATTCTGTGCCTAAAACACCCACAGAAAGCAGTGGTGGTGTTTGGCACTCTCCGAGGCTCCTGCAGAGTGCTCTGTGACCTGACATCACCCTTGCTCTGGGGAATATGCCCAAAAGAAGGAGAGAAGGAGGACCGAGACTCTTCTTCCACTGCGATAGTGGCCCGTACGTCCCCAAGGCTCTAGGACTCATCTCAGGCCTGGCGGCTTTTCTCACGGGCATAGAGCTTATTCTTCTGACCTCAAGACATGATGACTGTGGCTAAGGACAGCAGAAGGGAATGTGGCAGGAGGGCATGTGGTGTGGCTCCTGGAGGAGAAGGGTGAGAGGCTGTGAGCCCTTTTGCCAGGGCACTGCTCTTGGACCCCACAGGGCTCCTGTTCTTCTGGTTAGCCTGTCCCCTGAGGACCCCTGAAGAAGTTAGAATGTGCCTTGGGCTGCAGCCCACCAGCCTTGCCTGGGGCTGCCTGGGGTGACAGCAGGGGCTGGTAGCAGGGATCCTCCCTGCTGTTTGGAGGCCTGTCAGTTTACAGTCAGCACCATCATATCAACTGTTGGCAGGGCCTGGGCCCCTCCCTTCTGTTGTACTGAAGTTGACCCCTAAAACCTGGCCCCCACCTTCCTGGAATCCCTAAGAGGCGAAGGGACCTGGGGCTGACAGCTCAGTGAGGGCCTTCTCTGGCCTGGGCTCACTGGGAGTCCCTCTACTGACATGAGTCCACCAGCCTCTGAAGGGAGAACTTGGGTACACCACATGTGCCTACCCCTGCATGGAGCTCCCGGTACTGCCAACAGGGGTGGGGCTCTGGGTGGCCTCCCCTTTTGGAGCAAGGTCCCCTGGTGAGCACTTGGGTTCCTCACTTGGATTCCAGTTAGGACCCAATCTCCTCTCTTGGAAGAATTGGGAACATCTCCGTAAACTAAGGCCCTCCCCTTCCTGAGACCTTCCAAGCAGAAGTCAGCCCATAGCTCTGTCCACCCTCCTAGTGCTGAGAGAGGACGTGGGGGTGGGGGGCAGGGGGCACTGGGTAGCTCCCTTGGTTATGGGCAGAGTGAGCTCTTCAGTCCACATTCAGGGTCCCCAATCTGGAAACTTGACCAGTCCTGGAACTTCATCCTCTTTCCTGAGTCTGTGCCCCTCAGACCAATGCCCTCATTTTCTGGATTCCCCGAGGAGAAAGTCAGGGTGGGCTGTGTCCAGCCAAGGCTGTATGGCACCTCTGAGGGCTGACAGCAGGCACAGGACCGTTTGGGACCCCACTGATATGCATCACAGCCTGGACTCCTCCATCTACTCATCTGGGTCTATCAGCCTCACACTCAAGTCCTCACCTTCCTGAATGCCTAGAACATGGGCTGCAACATATCTGCTTACCCCTGCCTCAGGCCTCCCAAGGCCAAGAGCTGGGGTGGGACTCTGAGAAGTCCCCTGGTTTGGGGAGAGTTCCTCTCATTAGTACTCAGGGTCCTCACCTGCACACCAATTAGGGATAAAACTCCTCCCTCTGTGACACTAGGGCCACCCATTACACCAAGGCCCTCCCATCTCGGTGACTCCACAGGCAAAAATGAAGGGTTTCTGGGCTAAATGCTCTGCCCTCGGCAATCCAAGGCTAAGGACATGCAGGGCCCTGTGGGAACCTCTCGACCAGTGGGAGTCCCCTCCTATCACTGAGTCCCAACCTTGTTTCCTCTTAGTTCCTGGGTCTCCACCTCTGCAGAACTGGGGCCACCCCCACTAGACCAAAGCCCTTCTCTTCCTGCTACCCTGCAGGCAGAAATGAGGGGGCTCCCCGATCTAACACCTCTTCTCTAGGCTTCCCAGGGTTACTAGCTGGGGCAGGAGCAGGGGAGGTTTGTGGGGCCTCCTGTGTTCTCAGGTGGGTGTTTCCCTCACTCCTTCAGCGTCCTCACCTTGACACCGAGCATTGTGGTGTCAGGCCCATTCTTGGGATGCCACCTCAGCTGACCTGGGGCTGCTTCTCTCACCTTCCTGGAACTACTGAGTTGGAAGACAGGGTGAGCCAAATCCAGCTACAACTGTTCCAGACCCTCAAGAGCTGACAGCTGGGGCAGGACCTCATGGGATCCCACTGTTCTGCTTGACTCCTTTCCTCATTCCGCATTCTAGGTCCTCCCCTTGTTGTCTGTCAGTGGCTCGCAATTCTCCCTCTACTGAGCTGAGGTCGCCTTCCTTAGACCAAGACTCTCATGTTCCAGACAACCCTGAAGGACGAGGGGATGGTCAGCCCTGCCTGGGGCCCTGTGGTCTGAGGGCAGATGCAGGTTAGTCTCTGTGAGACCACCTATATTCTGGGGTGTTGATCTCCCCATCCTCTGACATAGGGTCTCACATCTTGGCTCATGTTCCTAGATTACAGGCTTCCTAGGAAATGCTAGGTCCCCGCAAATACTTGAGCACCTTTCCCCCTGCAAACCTTGCAGATAGAATTGGTGTGGCAGGAGTGATGGGAGACTGGGAGGCTATAGCTCAATGCAGCATGCCCAGGAAAAAGCCGGCCTATTTCTTCCTTCTCTTCACCAACTGGACTTAGCCTCGTATGTAACTTTGGTTCTAATACATCGACTTTCTCTAAGGCAGGGATGGAGCTGCGTGGTTTGGTGAGCCCCTATCTTTCGGGGTGATCTGACACTGCATATGCAGATGATCATATGGTCCCCAACTATTTTCTTTTTCTTTATTCACACCACTTATTTTGATATTTTATTGCTCTAGCTATGTATTCCAAACCAATAGTTTGTGCACAGAGCCCCCTTTTTATCACCTGAGATAGATCTAGGAGTCGTGAAAGGAAATGTGAATTATGACACAGTATCTGCCTCTGGCTGAGAGGCGCAGGGTAGTGTGGGCTCTAGATAAATTCAGACCATGGGTTCAGCACTGGCCCTGCAGCTTATCAGCAGTGTGAGCTCACGCACATTAGCAAACTCTCGGAGCCTCAGGTTCTTTATCTGTGGAGCAGGTTTGGTAAGCCCTGTCTTCCAAGACCGAAGGATGTATGGAATATGTGTTGCAAATCCAATACAGAGCCTGACAAGTATTGAGATATTTTTGAATAGCAGTTATTACCATGATTATTTTGAGCCAGATGATACCACATACCACACTGGGATTTTTTTTCTTTTTTTCATTCGAGAAGGAGGTCAGAGAATATGCAGTGTTCTAGGAAAACAAAACAAAACACTCAAATCAGCCAAAATGCTGCTTACGAAATAAAACTAAACAGTATTTCCCCATTAGATGATAAGTCATTTGATGTGGGCGTGTGGTAGACTTCCCAGTTGGATACACCATGAAGCTACTACAGCTGTGCAAAGGGCAATGACTTGCCTCCTTCTCAGCTGCCCCTGCATGGAACCCATCTCTGTTTTTACTCATTTCACCACCACCAAAAATCTAGACATCGTTTAGAGTTTGCCATATTACACAGAAGAATGCCCAATTTAGGTTTCCTTTTAATGGAGCGGTCAATCCCCCGAGCTGCCCCAGGCCAAGGCAAAGCGGTTGCTGTCACCTTCGTCTCAGAAACTCTCTGGACACTGATTGCACAAAACACCTAGTGAGTGCACTGTGTTCACCTGCCCGGGAACAGAGCCCAGGAGTCATTCTCCCCCTGCCGCAGGTGTCTGGGACTTCTCTCTGGTTTACCACATCTCTAAGGAATGGTTAAGAGCAGTTTTCCATCGCACACATAGTCTTTCCATTGTGAGACCCACCATCTGGGGCTCTGGTCCCTGGTCCCTCACCATTTCAACAGCTTCAGCTAACCCTTGGTGTAGCCAAACTTAAAATTACCTCCCACAGAGGGACTGGCAGCTTCCCAGGCTCCCCGCCTGTCTTGTCTCGGGAGATTTACCCTGGACTGCTTCTATGTAGAATCTCCTCACTCCTTCTGCCTTCTGTTTACTGTCCTTCAGGATGAGGAGTGTATCTCACCACGTTCCTTATCTGATAGCTTCTCTTGGACTCTGAAATGTTATTGGCAGGGGCTGGGTGTTCTTTGTGTACACATCCTAGAACTAGCATGAAGCCTTCCAAAGAGCAGATGCTCGATTCATGTTTGGTGAACAAAAGAGATGGTGAACAAGAGTTCTAATTCATGACCATTTATTTTCTCCCACATTCTTGAAAAGCTAAGCAAATCCAGGTATATATCTTTTAATTCTACCCAAAGAAAGAGCAAAATAAATAAGAAAAACCAAGAAAAGTAAAAACTTTTTACTTTTCTTTTTTTTTCACTATCTTGTTATCTCAACATTTTCACAGTGCAGTTCTCTTACATTTTAATGAAAATCCCTATTCCAGGGCTATGTTTTTCTTGTACTGGCTCACAATAAAAGATGCAAGGATTTTCAGTTTGTTTTACAAAATACAAAACCATTACTCTCAAATTTGATAACTAGCGATAAATATGTGAGCCATGTTATTCATAAGCTTAGATTCTGAATTTCAATAAACATTTTTAAAAAGAACACATTGGAAAGATAAGAAAAAAAGAGGTCAATCTGTACGTTATTTATGAATAACAAGAACACAACGAAGAGAGAGATTCTGCTCTCTCCAGCCCCACCTGACTCCACATTACTTTAGGAGGTTGACAGCCCTTTCCAAAGGCAAGGTGAGGACCCCATCTTCGACTTCACTAGGGCTGAGGGGGGCTGCTGGACGTGGCCTTGGAGCAGGCACTGGCCGGGGCACCAGTCGCAGCCTGGGTTGCAACTCTGGCCTGGGCTCGCTCTTCCTCATCTCTCAAAGCCTCTTCATACCAGCCCTGGAAGGCACTGGGGTACACAGTATTGCTGACTTTGGCCAAAAACTCCAGGACTTTCATCTTGCTGGCTTCAGCGTGGCCTCTTGGGCCCCACAGGAACTCGTAGCAAGGAGCATCACTGTCGGCCACCTGGCGGTACTCCAGGTGCTTTTCCTGCACCAAATCTTTGGTGATGAGCTTCCTGGGCTCCCCAAAGATGAGATGCCTCCTCCCAGCATAGACCCCCCAACACATTCAGGAATTCCCACGTCTCCTCCTCAGTGGCCCCGTTGCCATTCATGAAGATCACACCCAGGAGAGGCATCAGGAGCCCGTTCTTGGGGAAGCCCACGCCGTCGCTCAGACGCCCTTCGGTGGGAAGGCCCACTTTGCTAACAAAGGTGTAAGAGTGACTGCTGGGGTCAACTTCCTTCAGTTCAAGGCCAAAGACCAGCTCCAAGCGCTCAGTGGTTCTCTTGAGGATCTCAGGGAATTGCTCCTTGTACTTTTTGTTGATAACCTTCAGTATTTCTGCGTCGGTAATGGGCTCCTTCATTTTATACTTGTACGGCAGAAAATGCACCAAAATGCCCGCCTTCCTGGTCAGAGGATCTGTGTGAGAGCTCTCAGGGGAAGGCAGGGCCTGGCAGGGACTTGGGCTTTCCTCCCCTTGGCTCTTGGCACCTTCATCAGAACTTCAGCCTGAAATGGTTGCATCAGGACTGCTGGTAGATCAGGCCCTCTGAGACTTTTGGGGAGGGCCTGTTGCAGGGGAGCTCAGGGGCACACCCTGACAGACAAGCAAGGGGGAAGAGGGGACCTCTTCTTCCACTGCTGCAGTGGCCTGAGCTGCCCCAAGACCCTGGCTCTCACCTCGGGCCTGTCGGCTTCTCTCCCAGGCACGGAGCTTACTCTTCTGACCATGAGGCATGAGTGTGGTTAGGGACAGCAGGCACGAGTGTGACAGGAGGGCACCTGACGCGGGCCCCTGGAGGAGGAGGATAAAAGGGTGTGAGTCCCTTCAGCAGGGAGATGTCACTGTGGCTTTAAAAATGCCCCATGTAGGTGTCCTTGAAGGCACTGCTGTAGGACCCCATAGGGCTTCTGTTCTCTCAGTCAGTCTGTCTCCTGAGGCCCTGGTGGAGGAAGTCAGAGTGTGCCTTAGGCTGCAGCCTGCCAGCCCTGGCTGGGACCAGGACCCTCGCTTCTCTGTTCTCCTCTGATCCCGCTCCCCTGCCCCCTAAGAAATGAGTCCTCTCACCCAAACAGTTCTGCCCGTGGCTTTCCAGGCTGACACCACAGGGAAGACTTTCCATGGCCTCCTCTGTTCTGGAGTGGTTTCTCTCATTGCTCCCACAGGATTTTTACCTTCACTCCCCACAGGGCCTGGGACTCCTCTCTCTGCTAAACTGGGGCAACCAGTCCTTAAACCAAGGCCTTCATTTACTGAAACCCTGCAAATTGAAGTCAGGGGGCACCTGAATCTGTCAGCTCTGCCCTGGGCCTCCCAGGGGTGAGGCTTGGTGCAACCCTCTCTATTGGGGGGTTGACTGGTCCCCATTTCCTCCCTCAGTATCCTCACCTTGACACCTGACCAGTCCTGGGACTCTCCCTTCAGGGGACCTGAGCCCATGCCTTTTACACCAAGGTCTTTACTTAAATGGGACCTCAGAGTTGGAAGTTCAGGGTGAGCCACATCCTGCCAAGGCTGCTTGGGGCCTACAAAGGCTGAGAACAGGGTGAGGACTCTATGGGATCCCACAGCTCTCCATTGGGTCATTAGCTCAGTCCTCACCCAGAGTTCGGACGTTGGCTCAGTGTCGGACTTCTGACTCCTCATTCTACTGAACTGAGTCAACCAGGCTCAAATCAAGGTCTTCCCTTCCCTGAGTCACTGGAGGGGAAGTTGGGTCACACCACACCTGGATCCACCTGCCTCAAGCCTCCTGGAGCTGAGAGCATGGGTAGTGTTCTGGTCTGCCCCCTCTTTTCGGGGGAGGTCCTCTCATTAGCAGTCAGGGTCCTCAATCTGGAATCCTACTAGGGCGTTGGTCTCCTCCTGCTGCAGAACTGGGGCCACTTCCTTAGACGAGGCCCTTCTCTCCCTGGGACATTTCAAGCAGGTCACACCACGGCTCTGCTGGGACCTCCCAGAGCTGGGGGGCAAGGGCACTGGGTGTTTGTGTCAGTCCATCTTCAGGATCTCCACCTTCATACCAAACCAGTCCTGGAACTCCACCCTCCACTTACTAGAGTTCATGCCCTTCAGACCAAGGTCCTCCCCTTCCGAGTTCCCCAAGGTGGAAGTCAGGGTGAGCCTCGGTATGTCCGAGGCTGTATGGGGCCTCCGAGGGCTGACAGCAGGGGCAGGACTGTTTGGGACCCCACTGATACACATCAAAGCCTGGGGCTCCTCCATCTGCTGATCTGGGTCTATCAGCTTTGCACTCAAGCCCTTATGTTCCTCAGTCGCTAGACAGGAAGCTCAGACGCACTGCATCTGTCTATCCCTACCTGCAGCTCCTAGTCGTGGCTGGCCCCTCCCCCGTTTTGAAGGAAAGGTCCCCTCGTTAGCACTCAGGGTCTCACCAGAACTCCACTTAGGACCCATGATTCTTCCTGTAGCAGAACCGTGGCCACCCCACTTAGACTTAGGCCCTCCCCTCCGTGGTGCGCTCCACAGACAAGCCAAATAATTGTGCCAGGGCTCCCAGTGCTGAGGCTAGCGCAGTTCTTCGTGGGGCTTCCTCGGTGCTGGGCAGAGTGGTTGCTTCAGTCCACACTCAACGCCCTTACCTTGATACCTGAGCAGTCCTGAAATTTCCCTCTCCACTAACCCGACGTTGCGTCTGCCAGGCTAAGTTCCTCACCTTCCAGAGCTTTCAAGGCGGAAGTCAGAGTAAGCCATATCCGGCCAAGGCCGCTAGGGGTCTCTGAGGGCTGTCAGCAGGGGCAGTTCTAGTGCACCACGTGTGGCTACCGTTGCTACAGACTCTGGGCCTGTGCGGCCGCGCTGGGACTCTGGGCACCCTCCTCTTTTGGGGACAGGTCCTCTCTTTAGTATTCAGGGTCCTCACCTGAGCTCCAGTTAGGGCCAGAACTCCTCCCTCGGCGTCACTGGCGCTGCTGCCTGTCTCCCAGGGCCTCCCGGACTGAGAGCTCCAGGCACAAATGAGGAGCTCCTGGGCTGAGCTGTCGGCCTCCTACGACGAAGAAAAGGGCGCTGGGGACGTGTGACCCTCTCTGCTGGCGGGAATTATCGCTTATCACTAGGTCCTCGCCTTGGCTCTTGGTAGTTCTTGGGTCTCCTCGCTCTGCAGGACTGTAGCCCAATCTCACTAGATTAAGGTCTTCCTCTTTCTGAGGCCCTGCAGGCAGAAATGAGGGGGCTCCTCAGCCTGACAACTCTGCCTCAACTTGGGCCTCCCAGGTTGCGGGCGGGGGCGGGGGGGGGATGCTCTGTGGTGTCTCCTGCACTAGAGTGTGGGTAATTCCTGCATTCCTCCCTAAATTTCACCACCTTGACATCTGGCTAATCCTGGGACTCCACTCTCAGGAAACCTGGGGCTGTCCCCCTCCGATCAAAACCCTTATCTCCTGGGACTACAGAATTAGAAGTTAGGGTTAGCCAGGTCCAGACTTCCCATGACCGACAGCCAGGGCAGGACTCGATGGGACCCCACTATTCTGGCTGGGTCCTCCCCTTGAAGCCCATTAGAGGCTCACATTCCTCCCTCTACTGACCTGAGGTCGTCCTCCTTAGACCAAGGGTCTCATGTTCCTTACAGTCCTGTAGGGTAATTGGGATACTTAGCTGCACAGGCCTGCCTGGGACCCTATAGGTCTTCAAGCAGCCATAGGCCAGTCTCTGTGGGTTGTCTATATTCTGGAATGTTGGTCTCCCCAGTCCTCCTACATAGGGATCCTCATTTCAGCTCCTGTCTCCTTGATTAAAGGCTTCCTGGGAAATGCTACATCCCTTCAAACTCTTGAGCAGTTTCCCAACTGTAAATTTTGCAGAAAGTAGTTCCTTGCCCCAGAATTATGAGACCTGAGCAAGCTGTAGCTTAAGACAAGAGGCCTAGGACAGGTGGTGTGCTCTCATCAGCCAGACTTAGCATCTTATGTAGCTTCGGCTCTACGAACTTTCTACAGAGGAGGGGCAGAGCCTCAGGATTTTTGAGCCCCTGCTCTTTAGAGGTGATGTGATATTGCATTTGTAGATGATCATGTGATTGCCAAATATTAGCTCTTTTTTTCTTTGTTCATACTCTTCATTTATTTTAGTATTCTTACTGCTCTGGTAGTGTGTTCCAATCCAGCAGTTTGCACACAGCCTTTCTTCTTACTGCCTGAGACACATTTTAGAGTAGGGAGAAGAAACGTGAATTAGGAGATACAAGGCATATTTCCTTATTAAAATGAACCCCTATACCGTGGACTGAATGTGTCTCCCCCAAATTCATGTGCTATCATTTTAGCCCCCAGGGTGATGGTATTAGGAGGTGGGGCCTTCAGGAGGTGATTAGGTTGTGAGGGTCCTCATGAATGGGATCAGTGCTCTCGTGAAAGCACCCTGAGAAAGATCTCTTAGCCCTTCCACTGTGTGAGACAAGCAAGAAGGAGCCACCTCTGAACCAGGAAGTGGGCTCTCACCAAACACCAAATCTGCTGGCACCTTGATCTTGGACTTCCCAGCCTTCAGAACTGAGTGAAATAGATTGTTGTTGCTTATAAGCTGCCCAGTCAATGGTATTTTTGTTATAGTAGCCCAAACGGGCTAAGACACCTTAAAACAAGTGTGACCACCTACAGTGATGTACATTAAGGGGCCGTTGAAGGCTCACCTGTCTGTGGTTATAGGCCAGGGAGCCCTGGTTCCTTCACTGATGTCTGGAGTGGGCATAGTTTTTCAGTAATGGTGAATTATGTCAACATTAGTTGGTGATGCTAATCAGGCTGCTTTCCTACAGTTTGGGTTTGCAAATTGGACAGCTACCTCTTACAAACACTGATCTCTGTTCAGATGCTTGCACCTTACAAATCTCAAGATGCTTACCAGCCTGTAGCATGGTAGAAGGGACATGGAAAGTTAGTCCTCGGAGCGCCTGGGTGGCTCAGTCGTTAAGCGTCTGCCTTCAGCTCGGGTCATGATCCCAGGGTCCTGGGATTGAGTCCCGCATCGGGCTCCCTGCTCGGCGGGAGGCCTGCTTCTCCCTCTCCCACTCCCCCTGCTTGTGTTCCCTCTCTTGCTGTGTCTCTCTCTGTCAAATAAATAAAATCTTTAAAAAAAAAAAAAAAGAAAGTTAGTCCTCGCATAGGAGCGCATTTTCATGGTTGATGAGTGACTCTGTGCGCTGCAAATGGAGACTGTTTGACAGTTCTGTTGGGAATGATAAGTAAGGTAAATGCTAATATTTGCCTAAAAGGCAAAATTGACAAACTTTGACTCCTTCTGCTTCACTTTGCCTTACCCATGCTCTAGGCTCAGTTGTGAGAGAATGACCACATAGACCCCCACGAAGGGAGTTTTGTGGGTTTCTGTCACTGATTCAGGCACTGTGATAGACACTAGGGCTGGAGAGGGAGGGAGAGAGAGACTGAACGATTCTTGCCCCTAAGGTGCTATATTAGTCTTATGCTGGGGGGTCAGCAACTACAGCTCTCAAGCCAAATCTAGCCCACCATCAGGTTTTGCAAATACAGATTTGTTAAAACACAGCCACGTTCATTCATTTACATGTTACCTGTGGCTGATTTTATGCTACAACAAGAGGGTTGAGTAGTCTTGACAGAGACTGTGGATCTCACAAGGCCTAAAATATTTACTACCTGGCCCTTTACAGAGAATGTTTGTCAATCCCTGATCTAGTGGGAGAGACCAGCATTCACACAAGTAAATATAATTCAAGGCAGTTTATGATAAAAGCTAGGGCCCGTGCAGAAAGGGCTGTTTGAGCACAGGAGAGCCGGAAGGCTTCACAGGGAGAGAACCCTGGAGCTGAGCTTTGAGGAATGGGTTGGATTCAGGCCAGCTGAGATGTAAGAGGACATCTCAGGTGAGATGGTCTTTAACCTTGTCTGCTCATTGCAATCACTCGGGGAACTTCGAATAGGGATGCCTGGTTCTCCCCTCCCAGAGATTCTGACTCAGTTGTTCTGGGGCAGGGCCTGGGCATCAGGATTTTTTTTTTTTTTTTTTTTAAGAGTAAGCAGGAGAGTGAGGAAAGGGACAGAGGGAGAGGGAGAGAGAGAATCTTAAGCAGGTTTTGAGTTTAGATGAATGGGAGAATTTTGACAACCATTAGAAGGCAAAGGGGACACAACAAGAGGTGAAGGATATTGAGAGAGAGCGGTTTTAGTTTTGAATATAAATAACCAGTTAGCGTCTAAGTGGGACTGGCTTTTATTATTAGGCATCTGCACAATTTGGAGTGACCTCTTTTCTATGTTCTCTTAAAATGTGCAACAAGGCAGAAACAGGGGTTGATGGCCCTTTGCTCCCTTCCCAACATTCAGGTAGGACCTAACTGGTTTTCACCCTTGGCTTGTGAGATGTTTTCTTTTTGTATTTGTCCAAACAGAACCACACCCTCCTGCTTTAAAGGGACAGCAAACAAGGTTTTGCCTGTAATCTCGATTCTGCTTCTGAGAGGGTAGGTACACTGGAGCTTTTAACAGCCTCTTCTTAGATAAAATTGGAACAACAGCATCTAATCAGAAACTCAGTACCTTCTTTGGGGTGGGTAAATGGGTGATAGTTTTTAGTTCTTTGAAAAAAATCACTGAGCAATAAGCAGATACAATTTTTATCAATCTTTTATTTTATTTTTTATGTTCAGTTAGCCACCATATAGTACTACAGTTTTGTGGGGTTTTTTTTTTTTTTTTGGACAAAAGTTTCTCATGGGAATTTGGGAAGCATGACACGTCCCATTAGTTACTATCAGGTAAAATTAGTCTTTCTGGGCAAGGAATGACTTGAGTACAACAGACAACTGCCACTGTTAGTTGACCTCATTAGTAGACCACAAGAAAGGAAAAATAATTGTGTGATGAGTTCTAAGATGACTCTAGGCCTGGAAGGCCTAGATATATTCCCAGTCCCTGGAGAGCAGGGATAGGACACTGGGGGATTTGGCCAATCTGTATGGACAGAGTTTGGTCCAAATGACTAAGGTGGTAAACAGGCCACATGAGGAAAGAGATTCCAGGGCTCTCAAGCCAGAAGGCTGGTGTGACACCACCAGATGGCATAGCAAAAGTATCAAGCCCACTGTGGATTTCTTCACAGTAAATGATGTCCTCTGTCAGTGGTCACAAATTGAATATGCATAGGATTCACTTGGGGATCTGTTAAAATTCTAATGCAGAAGGTCTGAGGCCGGGCCCAAGAGCTTGCATTTCTTTAAAAGATTTTATTTATTTATTTATTTATTTATTTATTTATTTATTTATTTGAGAGAGAGAGAGCACTTGCGGGGTCGGGGCAGATGGAGAGAGAGACTGAGAATCTCAAGCAGACTCTGCACTGAGCACGGAGCCCGATGTGGAGCTCCAACTTACAAGTCTGAGATCATGACCTGAGCCGAAGTCAAGAGTCCGACGCTTAACCCACTGAGCCACCCAGGTGTCCCAAGAGCCTGCATTTTTAACCAGGTGATGTCAACACTGCCGGTCCACAGACCATACTTTATTTTTTTTTTTAAGATTTTATTTATTTATTTGATAGAGAAAGAGAGAGAGAGCACAAGCAGGTAGAGTGGCAGGGAGAGGGAGAAGCAGGTTCCCTGCTAAGCAGGTTCCCCGCTGAGCAGGGAGCCCAACACGGGACTCCATCCCAGAACCCTGGGATCATGACCTGAGCCGAAGGCAGACGTTTAACTTAGCCACCCAGGCGCTCCCACA